GAAAAAAGTAGCTAGTCCATAAAAGCATGATTAGTGTTTTCTGGATTTTGTGATCATTTTGATATTTGTCTGAGCTTTTAAATTCACAATTTTGTATTTATTCTCTCATTATAATTACTGATTTTGTACTGATTTTTATATTTTCAATTTTGAACTTTATCTTAAAGAGAGTACCCCTACATTGTATAACATTCCAACACTACAAAACCAAAATCTGTCTTAGTAGGTTCCACCGCCCTTACTTCTTTGTCTTGTCAAAATCTTTCTTTCTTCTGTTTTTCTACTATTCATACAGTCTCTGCATCTACAACCAAGGTGACCATGTTTATTGAAGTAAAGTTTGATTAGCTAGTTACTATAGGTAAATAACAGGAGAATGAAGAATAAATGATGAAAACAAACTTCAAATTATCAGTGCTTATAAAAGATATATTGATAGACACTCTGGAAGGGCATGACCTAAATAGAGTGTCAGACTGTTGGACCTCCATTAGGTAGCAAAGTTGCCTTCTTTCAGTCCACAAGGCATCTCCGATTGTAGAGTAGTTTAGACCTTTAGTCAAAACCCAGTTTGACCATTACAAGTTGTACAGTTGTTGCATGGATAAATTCCCAAGCCTCAGTTTTCTCATGTATAAAGGGGAGTGATAATGGAATTAAATGAGAGTTTCAGGGAGGAAATGATTGACTTCAATATTATGAGTTCCACAGAGGAGAATCCTTCCAAATGCTGTTTTATTTTCTCTCTACATGGAAAAGTAGTTACAAAATGCTTAGCTCAATGTCTAAAAAAAAAAAAAAAAAAAACAAAAACACACAAAAAAAACTCTCAGAAGTATTTTCCTCTGAGGAAAATAAAAACTTCCTGCCTTCCTTCCACTGCCTCACTTACCTGAGCCAGACAAAAAGGAAATTCCTAGCCTAAAGGAAGGTAAAGCACTACAGGTCTTCCCCACCTGGAAGCTGTGCTCATGTGGGTGGATTAGTGGGGAGACAGTGTTTCCTTACGGTCTGTGGTCACTGTGAAGTCAGATCTCTGTCTCTTCTAGTCAAGCCAATCATGTCCTTCTCTCTGAGGTTCCAGAAGGTATAGCAGAGACTGCAATGCATACACACTCCACTAAGGCTTTTTTTCAGAGAAGGCACAGAGCCATCTCATCTGATGTTCTAAATATAGGAGTCCACATGACTTTCATCAAATATGTCCAGAAAACTGGGGCTAGGCCATACATGCACAAATAAACCAGAAATCCTTTCAAACTACATCCCTAAAGTCCAAACACAAATTTAATGTCCAACCATTGTACTCCATTAGAACAAAATTATTTTATGCTGCTTAAAGTTCTACAGACTTTAATTACTGTAATAGCAATCTGGTGACCAAAAGAAGTAACAAATTGTCATTTGCTTGTGGGAAACAAGGAATATTAAGACCCCCCACAAAAATGTATTGACTTGGGGACTCCTACCAATGAGGAATAATTTAACTTACTCTTGGTCACAGCTAAAAAATAGTGACAAAACTGATGAGTATATGTTCACAAAAACATCTTCACAATCAATGCCATAAGCTTACTCATTGCCTTCAAGAGTTGCCTCCCACCACTTTGGTTTTCTGTTTGTTCGTTTTATTTTTTGTTGTTGTTTTGTTTATATTTTTCCTTTTATGGTAAGAGCATTTAACATAAGACCTACCCTACTGGCAAATTTTAAAGTTTACAAAATAGTACTGTTAGCTATAGGCTCTATGCTGTATGGTAGATCTCCAGAACTTCTTTATCTTGTATAACTGGGACTTTGTACTCTTTGATCAACACCTCCCCTGTCCCCACCCAGTTCCATTCCACTCTTTGCTTCTATGTGTTCGACTATTTTGTATTCCACATATAAGTGAGAACATGCAGTATTTGTATTTCTGAGTCTGGCTTATTTCACTTTGTATATTTTCCTCTAGGTTTGTGCATGTTGTCACAAATGACAGGATTTCTTTCTTTTGTAAGTCTCAATAATATTTCATTTTTATCTATCTAAAACGTATTTATGTAAATGTATATATAATATGTATATACATATGTGTATGTGTGTGTGTGTGTGTGTGTGTGTGTGTGTGTATGTGTGTATCTCTCACATTTTTTTAATTCATTCACTCAGTAGACATTTAGGTTGCTTCCATGTCTTGGCTATTGTAAATAATGCTGCAGTGAAGATGGGAGTGCAGATATTTTTCAAGATCATGATTTCAATTCCTGTGCATATATATCCAGAATTGGGATTGTTGAATCAAATGATAATTGTGTTTTTAATTTTTTTTGAAGAATGTTTATATTAGTTTGCATAGTACCTGCACCAATTAGTGTAAATTAATTGTAGTTAATTATAATTAATTATAAATTAACAGTGTGCAAGCGTTCCCTTTTCTTCACATCCTCATCAATAAAAAGGCAATTATGGAAAGAGAAAAAATATTTGCAGACCATGTATCTGTAAGGGGTTCATGGTTTATTATCCAAAATATATAAGACTCACAATAGCAAAACAAAACAAAACAACAACAACAAAAACAAATAATTTGATTTAAAAAATGGGCAAAGGATCTGAATAGACATTTCTCCAAAGAAGACATATGTATGGCCAACACATAAATGAAAGGTACTCAATATCAGTATTCACATCTATTAGGATGACTATTATAGATAGCTTTGTTTTTAATACATGTATGTATGTGAGTGTGTGCGACAAGACTTTTTAATAGACTGGGGTGGGATATATAACAATTAATAATAGGTGTCATCATGCAGGGAGAAAAGACACGGCAATCTTAGGGGATAAAGAGGTCCTAAAGAAGCCGGAGGAAGGTAAACACAGGGAATACATGTGGTAGATGTGGATGGTGGGACTACAGTGAAGGTGTTATGGAGAGTTTGGGCAGTTGTCAAGAGCTAGAGGTAGAAAGAGGATGACAAATACCATGCAAATTAATTTTCTACTTCCAAACTATAAAATTATTAGAAAGTTAAATTTTTATTGAACACTTCCCCAGGAGATAATTGGGATAGAGATGGAGCTAGGAAGGCAGAGGGGCCTTCTGTGTACTCGACCAATGAAACTTATTCATGGTTTGTATGCAGTTTTCCTTGTTTAGGCCTTCTGTGCTATGTGAGATGTACTTGTGGTTCCAAATGCCTCAACCCTGATTGTAGCTTCTCTCCATGCCTCAATCCTGAAGTGGTGGCAGTTTCTACTGTCCTTTAATGAACCTCAAGTTCTAGTTGGTCCTTTTAGATCTAAAACTCCTGCCTCCCCGGGATTCTCATTTTCCTGAGCTCTCACTTCTTATGGATAGTTCCAGCTGTCTTCTTTGTGCTGGCCTCTAGCCACTTTACCTTGATTTTCAAACAAACATAATACTTCGAACGAGTCATACAAGGTGCATAAGGTAGTGTGACAAGGTATCTTTGCAGCAACAGCAACAGCACAGATCATTTATTATTAATTATTATTACTAAACTAGACTAAGGGATTGCCTTAATTTTGCAGTGATATGCTGCAAGTCATTCTGATTCTGTCATCTCTGTCTCTCTATCTTCCTGTTAAATTACTTAGCCCGATTCCTCATCCCTGCCCATCCCTCTCAGCTCAGCAACTCCAGAATAATTCATTCCACAATTCAGGTCCCTATAGCTCCTGCCTGGAACTTAGCTATAGGTCTACCTTTACTTTTTTAAAATCCAGACACTGATTAATGTGTTCTGTTAAAGAAAGTCCCCTCTACTTTGGACCCCACACATCTTCCTCCCATAGGTACAACTTGTGCCATGCCCTTGTCTCACTTTTCAAAAGCTAAAGCAGAAAACAGTCTTTTTTCGTGTATTTCCGCTGATTCACATATGAGTGAGTGGGGATATTATTTGCCGACTTAACTATTTTTAACTCTTAGACTCACTATTGGATAATATGTCATTTGGGGGAAGCTATCGGATGTGCCTGAAGCCCACACTGACTCCAATCCGGTCATTCCATTTTTCAGATAATACTGTCGTACACAGTGTTTTCCTAGACGTGATCTCATCTTATCCTCACAATAACCCTGCGACTTTGACAGGACAGGTAGTGCATCAGTCGAGATCATGTCAGGGGAGAGAAAACAGGAGAGAATTTAATGTGAAGATTTAACTAGGTGTAAAGTTGTTAACTACTGAAAAGTATAAAAGGAAAATTCTAAGGTTTCTTAAAGGTAACTGCTTAATAAAGCCCCTAGAACTGAAGCAACAAAGAGAAGAGGTTGCAACTGTTACAGTTCAAGAGCTTGGAGGGGATGTCCCCATGGAGTCAAAATTCAGATCGCTGAGGAGGTGGTGCTGCTATGCTGATGCTGACATCTCTGAGCTGGGAAGACGGACCCTGTGGGGCAGGAGCACAGACTGCAGAGGTGGGAGCTCCAACTCGTGCTTGTGTCTAGAGCAGAGAAAGGAAGCATGAAGCTGGCTTTGCAAGTATTAGAAACCAGAAAACAGGATTCAGTGGCTGCTACTGAAAGTTGCTGCTGCTGTCAAGGGCAGGCAGGACTCATGGGAACTGCCAGCTACGAAGTTTTCCCTTATTCTCCCTTCAGGACCGTGGTCTCCCTCTAGTGTTTGCCATTGTCAGAGCCTAAGAGATACCAGCAAGCAAAGCAGACAGGTGATGCACAGATTCCAGCCCAGTATACACAGTGGAAGGTTTGGAGGTTAAGGCTGAGAATTTAATAACTAGAACAGGTAATTTTCCTGGCCTAATTTTGCAAAACAAACAAACAAACAAGCAAAAGGAAAATAAAGCTTAGAGAATGTAACCAAAGCAAAATATCTTGGTAAGGTAGAGCTGGTTAAGTGGTAGTGCTGGGGCTTACATTCAGATATCTTGGTTATAAATGTCATGCTCTTTTCATTATGCTAAATTTTCTGAGGCCCAAATGGTTGAAATAACCTACCTTAAATCACTTTCTATTTCATTGGCACAGACTGAAGAAAATCTCTCTCTCTCAAAATATCTAATTTATAAATTTTTCTGTGTATCGTCCTAACACAAAAAATGTCTCATGTATGTGAGAGATCAGGTTTATGAGAAAAGAGAAGTCTAGTTTGGGAAAAGAGGAGGGCCTCACACCTACAGCTTTTAGCAAAGGACAGTTAAGCTGACAGGAGGAACAGCTAAACTGAAATAATTAAATGCCCCATTCATTTATGAGTTCATTCATTCAACAAAATTATTTCATGTCTACCTCATTCCAGATGCTATTGTAGGGGGTAGTGGCCCAGATTTGAATATAAATTCCTGCTTTCATGCAGTTAACAATATAGTAAGGGAGCTAGATGATCAGTAATATGAATACCATGTGTAGTATGTTAGAGAGAAAAGTCCTCGTGGAGAAAGTCAGGTTGGAGTTATGGCCTGAAGGAAGCAAGCAGGTGAGTCATGTAAATGTTTGGGGTAATGTGTTCCAGGCCAGAGGAGCTTCTTCATTTTTTCTTCTTCTGCCACAGGACCTCTGTGCAGAAGGTCCTGTGGCAGAAGAGGAAAAAATGAAGAAGCTAGAGGTGCAGGAGCATCATGAACAAATAATAGGAAATGACGTTAGAGAAATAACAGAGGACCTGTTCATGTAGGGCCTTGTTTGAAGATCTCCACTGCAATAGATTGTATCATTGTTCATTAATATCTGCTACCTCTCCTGAAGAACAATTTTACTTCCTTCCTTCTTGGTATCATGTATGGCAATGTGACTTGCTATGGTCAGTGAAATGTGAGCATACATAGTATATGTTTCTTCAGACAGAAGCTTTAAGAGCTAGCATATGGTTCACCCTATGCTCTTCTCTTTGCTAGGATCACCAGCTCTATCGGCCTGGTTCTCAGAGGAGAAGTGATGTGGAACTGAACTTAAGCGAACTTGAAATGGACATGGAAAGTTGGAAATCAACCTTCGTTGTTACAAGCCACCGAGATTTTGTTTGTTACTGCAACACACTTTGGGCTATTTGGGATGATAAATACTCAATTCCTTTAGTTATGTATGATTAATATATAGGCCTGTTTTTTTACCCCTAAGTATAGTACTGTAGGGTTTACTTTTAGAAGAAATATGTTACCTTGGACTTGATGGTGCTCTAGTGGTGCCGTCCTTTTGAGAAAATGCTTCTAAGATGGACAGTGATGCTTTCAGTCAAAAAGACAAAGGTTTAAGTTATATCTTTGGTTACTCCCTTTCATACAAGCTATCAGTTAAAAAAGTCAAAATGCTATTCTGAAATTCTTCTTTCTTAAAGAAATTAGATATTGCCTACTCACCTTGTTCTAACAATTGGGAGAATTAAAGAATATTAGAGGGAAGAAAGGGAAGAGAAGAAAGTACATGCCAGCCTCTCAGTTTTCTGTTATTGATTCTGGCTATAAACATGATAATTTTCCTTATGATTAAATGAAGAAAGAGGAAAGTTAGAATATGAAAACTTCCTAAGGATGATTTTATGAGATACCAAATATAATGAAGCACCAACTAAAAATTAGTGCTATAATTAAAGAGATATAAACTAAAAAATACCATTAGTCTCATATGCCTCTATCAATATCATGAAGAAATTATGTAAAGCTATTTTTATAGCGTTTCTCTTAATCATATAACACATTCCTTAAAATTAAAAATCTGACTCAGTCAGTTTGGTGTCCCCAATACCAAATATATTATGTAGAAACAAAACAAAAAAAGATTTTGTTTAACTAAAATAGAAAAAAAATAGAACTTTAAAGAAATTGATCATTTGTTTGAAAATTTATTAAAATTTAATTTGATTTTCAAACCTTTTTCCCTTTTCTTTTTTTATCTAGAACATGAATTAGCATTGACATGTCAGAAATATCTAGATATTTGCATATATATGTAAACATATATGGTTCTATATTATGTATGGCTATATTCATATAGAATATATATATAATTTTAAGTATTTTCATGTTTTATTTTCTGTTATATTTGATCAAGGCATCATTTAACTAAGAAACATAAGACCTTTTTTTTTTTTTGTCTACAGTGCAGGAAAAGCCTGTTGTAAGAGTGAATTGATTGCTTGAGTAGACATCTCAATTTCAATATCCTTTGATTTTCCTTTCATTTAATACTGAAAGCCAATATACTACTAACCCTGTAAAGTTTATTTTTATTTACTGAATTTCTGTAAGATGCAACTGGGGAGGAGTTTGAAGGGAAAAATAATGTGTCTAGAATGTTATTATTAATATACAGAGGAGGTGTCATGTTAGGAATGGCTAGAATGTTGTTAATATGACTCTAGCAGAATAGACATAGCCTCTAAATGGTGACATAAATTACAAGTAGTGTTCGCATTGCTGTTTGATGCTATTATCTAAGACAATATAAATTTTAGACTGGAAGCAAGTTGGCTACAGTCTTCAATAAAGATGCAGCTCTCTTATGCTGCACCTCCTACAGCAAAACTAATTAGGACATTATGCTAGTGACAGCTAGAATCCTCATGATGTTATATAATCTTCTGGGATTCAGTACTATTTTGCCCATTAGCTTTTTCTTTCTCAAAAAGAAAATCCTGGATTTGTTATTCCCTGACACTTTTACAGATGAAACATGAACAGCATTACATATATGAATGCACATCCTTCTCATAATTTCAGCTTCACAAATCCATATTGAATAATGAATTTAGGAACAGCAAAAAAACATAGGAAGAGACACAGAAATTCAGATCTATTAATTATATTATTTATTCCTTGAAATAGCTTTGATAGGTAAAGCATTTAGAACATCATTGGCTTTAAAAGTATGAGGGGTACATGTGGGTATTTTTCACAGTGTCCCATGGAATTATTTTCTTCTATGCCTGTATATGTTTCTCTATTGTATTCTTACACTTTAATATCGAAAACTTCATAATGCATGTTGCCACAATCATATGATTTTTTTCTCTATTATAGCATACCCTGCATTGTTGTGGCCTGTTTGAGAATTTTTTAAAGAAAAAAGAAAAAGGAAAAACTAAGTCACAATACAATACTTTTTGTTATTATATATATATTTGAGTATATATACTATGGCTGAAATATACTGCCTAAAACATAAAAGTTATGTTTTACAGGTTGTGCTATAAAAACCTAATATGGCATCTGTAGTTTATAATTTAGCATTAATTGTTTCATTGAAACTACCAGGCAGTTCTAGCTACTTGTAATCTATTCGGTTTTCATTTAAAATAATAAAAATTATAAAAAGAATAAAAGAAAGAAGGAAGAAAATTGTAAAAGGCCAGCACAATTTAAAAAATACATCAATTAACATGGTTTGGAGTATTTCATTCACTGCTTTTTGGTAAATTACTGCATTTCTTATGAAAAGTTCATAATTAAAAATAGCATAAAATTTATAGATGCTTATAATTTATTTTTGAAGGTTTATTAAAATCTACATTTATTTGATTACAAATGAATTCATGCACCTACAACTTTCTTCCTGTTAAAGATTTTATTAGCTTTTCTAGAAATGGGCCTGAATTAATCCTTTTTTTCTAGCCAGGCTGTAATTCCACTGATACAATTCATATTAATTACATACGTCTCTCCTTTAGAAACCCTGGAAATCAATTTCCAAGCCTAGGTAGATGAAATACAATTGTGTTTCTTTCCTGGTCCATTTTTAAATTGTCTTTTTAAATAACAGCTTGAGTGTCTGCATACAAATTTCTTCCTTTTGAGCACGGGCGATTTTCATTCAGTAGAACTATTGACCTAGTGTTGGGTCACGCGGCTGTCTGATCTTACTGACATTAATATCACTCATTCTTCTTAAATGTGTAAATTTCATGCTATTACACAGTTATAAGTGTGGAAGCAACAATAAATTGATTGAATTCAACATTTTGAATTACGGATACTCTTAAAGAAGGGGTCCAATTACTAACATTTATCTAGTGTTATATACTAAGTGCTATATTGACACTTAAATCCTGCCTTTTAGATAAGTGGTAAGGAAATACTTCACAAAATGCAAAGACCAAATGATGGCTCATCATATTTAGAGTGTTTAATTAGTAAGTACAGGCAGTTCTTGCTTTGCATAGGAGTGCAAGACTATAAAAATGAGAGAACAAGCTGAAAAGATACAAAGAACTCTTAATAATCAATGGGAAAATATTTTTCTTGGCTTTAAAAATTTTTGTCAACAATTAAAAACATTTAAAAATGTATAGGAAAATAAAAATAGTAAAAGTGTCATTACTTTAGTACATCATTATTTAAAACAGAAATCAATCAAGTGTTTTCTTTTATTAGAAAAATTTACAAAGAGTAGTTTGAACAGTACTTGCCTTTTTCTCATCATATAACTTACGATACGGAATGAGAATTCTTCCTATGCCTTGGAAAATCATCACACTTCTTTCTAAGTTCGAATCAGTTTCTGACACTTTATTCTTCACACTTTCAATATCGTGATATATCTCCAAAATTTTGTTTAATGTGAGTTACAGCTGGAATCACTTTCTTTTGGACACCTTCATTCTTTCTATCACAACCATTTTCCTCACTTATGCCAATTAAGTTCACCCTAACTAAATTCTCTAGCTGCACATCTAGAGTCTCATGAATGGAGACACTGTTAACATTGTATTATTAGCTGTTTCTTCTGTAACTCCATTTACATTCAATTTAAATTTCATGTTTGTGCTTATCATTTTTATTTCTTTGCTGCTTTTTAAAATCTTTTTTGGATAACTTCCCACTTTGATTATCCATTTTTGTAAAATATCATTGGGTTTATCACTGGGAAACTAGGAGGCAACACAACAACACACTTTTCTGTCTGTGCATGAACTGAGTAACAAAAGTGTTGTGACCAATCACCGACAGCCTTTTAGAGATGTGATGTTATTCATCACTGATTACACATTTGTTAGATAGCTGTTCGAGGATGGAATAGCTAGCAGCAATGTACTTTGTGTAATTACTCAGAGTTATTGTACCCTGGTAAATGAAATGTGAACCATGTTCTTTGGAGAACTGTACTATTTAACTAAATCATGATAACTAAAATGTGTGTATATTAAAACTGAGAAGTGAGGACTGCCTGTATTTGACTGATTGCTTAAAATACATATGACTTTTAAAATTATGTATTGTTTTACTCTTTATGATTACCAATAGCTAGAGTCTATATAGTTGTACACTATAGTTGCAGAAAACCACATTGCTATATCTTCAGCAAAGGGATATGTTATTCTGGCAGGCCTATGACCTACTCAGCTGTCTCTGCAACTCTGCAATCACTTTAGGGGGCAGCAATTAACCACTAGAAAATTCTCTGGAATTTAATCTCTTTCTGATGTAATTCTCTCTAGGCCCATGGGTATGAATCCTTTTTCTAGCACAGTTATCATTAAGAAACATGCATTGAACCCTTTTTTATATAGTAATCTGTGTTAGATACTGCACATTCATTATTTTTAATCTTAACAAAGATGTCAAAAGGTAGGCATTAAATAGTATTAACAGATAAGGAAATAAAGGACCAAAATCGTCAGGTAACTTGGCCAAAAATACACATGCAGATATCTAACATTCAAATCTAGGCTCTCCTTTCTAAAAGGAGTATTTCTCTTCCCAGGTAACATAAGTCTCTCAAGGAATGTATGAAGATAAACCAACAGATGGATCCTACCTGGATAAAAGATGAGATTAAAATGAGTTCTCATTTGTGAATGAAGAAACATGGTTAATAGCTACACTATAGCACGTGGAAGTCTAAAAAGAAGTTTGATTCTTCCAGATCCTCTCTGTTGATCAGTGGCACAAAACTGGGCTAATGTGTATCTATTCTTTTTTCCTCACCCTCCCTCAGTTCTGCTGAAATTAAAATCTTTTCAGAGCTTTTATATCCAAGACACTATACAGAAATAAACGAGTTTGGAGAAAAACTGTGGAGTGAAAGACGTCTCCAGATCTCTCCCATTGAAACAACAATAAGCGGAACATCTAAAACTGAACAAAAAACACTCAAACTGCACACCAGCACGTGTGAGCATGGGATCTATGCATAAGAGCTACCACAGGTCAGAACCCCAGGTGTCATGTGGTGGACTGGGAGAAACAAAGAAACTGCCTCTCGCAGCCTGAACTCCCTGTAAGAGAAAGAGGAGAAGAGAAAGTGCAGTGAGTTCCCTGAATAGCCCTGCCTGGGAGAGCTGTGAACTCCACTGGTCTGCGGCAAGGCCCAGACATCAGGACAGAAAGTAGAGAAGTAGAGACAGCAGAGAAACAAGTTGATTTTTACTAGCCACAGTTGCAAAACCGAGGCTGAGCTGCAGCCGCCAACTCCAAAGCCAGAAGGCCCCTTCCCACGTATCCTCCGACACTGAACATCACGGAGCACCAGGGGGATCTGAACAAATGCTACCGAAACTGTTGCTAACACTGACAGAGACTGAGACATAGGGTAGCAAACGTGATTAATCATCTATAAGAAAACAAAAGAAAAGGCATTAATAAGGCTTTATATAAAGCAGAGATCCAAGAGGCTTAGAAGCCACCTACTGGAAACCAAAAGAAAAAAGCATTCTTTGCAACAGGCTAAAGAGAAACCTTTATATAATAAATCTTCTTTCTGGAAAAAATAGAAAAGGAAAGCAGAATACACTTCCATTTGATAAAAATCTTCAGAAAAATACCTTATGGAT